ATTCAATTTTAACACACATAAATAAATAAATAAATAATATGTGCAAATTTCCCAAACATTGCCCTAACTCTTGACATGCAGATACAATACAGACAGCAATCATTTTAGACATATCCAATTGACACGCGACCGCCAACATACGGGTCCTTTTGGACCCCGGAAGAGGGAGGAATGGGGGCAGAACAGAGTACATTGGGCTCATGCACTCTCTGCCATGTGTGGGGATCAGGAACAGAACCCCCATGCAAAATGGTCACTGTCTGTATTGTGTTTATATTACAAATCCATGACATGGATGTTGATGAAGACTGTGACACTGCCTGTTGCTTGCCTGGATGGAGAGGTATGTGAAGAGTGTTTTCACAATATTTTTTCACTGGTGTCTATAGAACCATAGTCCAAGGAATAGTAGTTCTGCTGGGGTGCCCAAGTGACAACCTCCACTCATGTGTCATTCATTCCCTTTCAAGATTTCTGGTGCTATCAAATAACGGGTTTCACTATGCCATATATACCTTTAACGCCATGTAGCCGTAGATATAATCCCTTTTCCCCAGTCTACAGGGATTGGGCTTGAAGTGGCCTTAGGATGGGACTCTGGGACCGGCTGTCAGGGAAAGAGATTTATGGGCTCAGGGAAGTGACCCCTCCTCTCTCAGCTCAATCAGATGCACCATACAAGTCTGTATATAGGATAGGTGCTGCCATCAGAGTGCATGAGGCAGTGTGGAGGACGGGAAGAGGGAGGCATGTGGATGCCGAAGGGCAGTGAGTCCTATAGAGGTGCCACCCAGAAAGATTGCCCTATCAGAGAAAAAGAGGGAAGATATGGGCCAAAAGAGCATATTGGTCCATGGAACACTCGTTCCGACTGCCTCAGCTATGCCTGGGTGTGGCTCTTTACCTATCCTAATGTGGGCTTACATTCTACATTCACATCTGTGAAATCAAGTATGTGAAACATAAGCTATTCCACCCAACTAGTGCTCTTGGCAACTAGGATGCCCGTTAATGTGTCAAGGACTGTGGTTAGTTGGTTAGGGAAATGCTCTGTGGAGCTTGCAATGTGGGTTTGAGTCTCATGCCCTTTTTTTAAGCAGACATGTAGAAGTTGAGTGGGGCATATTCACTCCTTGATGCTAGTGGGACTCAAATTCCCATTTCCTGTTCCTGCAAACCTGTGCCCTATGTACGGAACCACTGGAGGCTGCTGGTGGCAGAATGCATCTTTGGCCAACCTCACTGGTTATTTGGCAAAAGAGTCTTTCTTTCCCTAGGTGGTGTTGAACTTTTGCCTGAATGGACTGTGTGTGCCTTGGAGATTGTTCTTCAGTGATATATCTCCAGTCCCAGCATAATTTAAGTGTAGGCTTGCCTTGGCCATGTGTTAGGCACACTCTTATATCTGTGCATCCTAAAGCTACAAAAACCTAATAAAAATAAAAGTGTGGATTTTTCTCCAGGTTTAACCTAAGCCAATAAAATGTTTTTCATACATGAAACAGAGTGGCAAGATTTATAATCAAAATTGCATAATATTTCACAGGATGCTCTGTTATCAAAATCCACAAAAATTCAAAGGGCTGTTTCTTATATTCTCCGAGAAGCTCAAGTCAGAACAAACTAAGAGATAATGCAACTAGGCATAACACAATAAAAGATATTACCTTTGCAATGCATTATTGCTGCCAATTATAAGAATCACTTCAACTTAATTTCAAAAGCACAATCACCCTCAACTGTAACAGTCTCTTTTTTAAATTTCAAACTGTATTACATTAAGGCAATAACTCACCTTCCAGCTATAATATTGGTCTCTCTTATTTCAAAAATACATTTCATAAATACTTCATCGACAAGTCAAGCTAATTCAGGTTAATTTTATTGTATTTCAGTGCTATCTCACATTTGTGTGCAATTACCTCTATCATTTTATTGCTACGCCGGAAAGTAATCAGAGCAATTATTTGAAAAAGAAGGCATATAAATTTTAAGTCACAGTTGCTGGCATTTTTGATAAAATAGCAGCTTTATCTCAGAAAGTGGCAGGGACATCAGATAAATCATGCATCAGTCAAGTGTAGCTGACCCCCAAGTGCATTGCACAATATCAGAAGTGCTTCAAAAGAAACTTTCCTGCATCATCCATCATCCTCCATAATACTAAAATAGCTACACCTGAAGAGTTAGAACTAAAGAACAACAGTAAAACAGAATCCAAGCAATATGGGTAACACTATTAACAACGCTCCTCTTTAAACTAAACTATAAAGGAACCACTAGAATTTGCTTGTAAACAAATAAGTCCTATTTCCATATTGCATCTTCAAACAAACAGTCCTACAATAACCAGCACCCCAACTAAATTCTATTCAAAATACTTGTCAGATCATACACTGAAAGAAATATAAGGCATAACCACACACTATCAGAGCTTGTTCAAATTTCACAAAAGCAGGAAAAACATGTTCTGTGTTTACATGGCATTCATGGTATTAGAAGCTATCCATTCCTAGCAGAATTAGAACAAGGACAGAGGCAGCTGAAGAAGAGCAAACACCACAATTTTTGTCAATGCCCTATATACAGTAAAAGGTAAAGGTAAAGGGTCCCCTACCATTAGGTCCAGTCGTGGCCGACTCTGGGGTTGCGGTGCTCATCTTGCTTTATTGGCCGAGGGAGCCGGTGTACATCTTCTGGGTCATGTGGCCAGCATGACTAAGCCGCTTCTGGTGAACCAGAGCAGCACACGAAAATGCTGTTTACCTTCCCGCCGGAGCGGTACCTATTTATCTGCTTGCACTTTAAAGTGCATTCAAAATGCTAGGTTGGCAGGAGCAGGGACCAAGCAATGGGAGCTCACACCGTTGCAGGGATTCGAACCGCTGACCTTCTGATCGGCAAGTCCTAAGCTCTGTGGTTTAACCCACAGCGCCACCCACGTCCCTCTATATACAGTAAAGGTAAAGGTACCCCTGCCCGTACGGGCCAGTCTTGACAGACTCTGGGTTGTGCGCCCATCTCACTCAAGAGGCCGGGGGCCAGCGCTGTCCGGAGACACTTCCGGGTCACGTGGCCAGCGTGACATCGCTGCTCTGGCGAGCCAGAGCCGCACATGGAAACGCCGTTTACCTTCCCGCTGGTAAGTGGTCCCTATTTATCTACTTGCACTCGGAGGTGCTTTCGAACTGCTAGGTTGGCAGGCGCTGGGACCGAACGACGGGAGTGCACCCCGCCGCAGGGATTCGAACCGCCGACCTTTCGATCGGCAAGCCCTAGGCGCTGAGGCTTTTACCCACAGCGCCACCTGCGTCCCCTATATACAGTACACATGGCTTAAAAGAGAAATAGTATCCAAGCATTGAGAGCAACACAATAGACCTACCACCATGAAAATGAAATACCTAGTGAAAGCACCAAGTGTGGGAGCAAGAACTGAAGATTGACTGAAGGATTCCTTGGTCTCCCTGCTCAACTGGTCTCAACGTTCAAGGAGAAAATAGAAAACACAATGAAAAACACACACATATTTTTCCAATAGGGCTAGTGGTGCAATTACAAAATTTGAAATATGCCCAGTGGTGCAAAGAGTTTGCCGACCCCTGCTCTAAATAAACACTCCTACAGAATGGCCATTTGGATGTCAACCAGCATTCTACCTCACTAATTGCTTGTTAACTTCTTCAGCAAAGGAGTGAAATGTGCATCATTATCACAGACACAAGTATATGTCTATCTATGTAGGACAGGTTGTATTTTAAGGGAGCCTTGCTGTATGCTTTGCAGAATTACCCAGTTTCAAGTGCAGTTTCCACAGTTTAGCCTCAAGTACGGCATTGCACTTCTTCAGCCCCCCATTCTCTCCTCACTGAAAAGAGGAAAATTTTATAGCTTCTATGGGGAGGAGGAAATAACAAAATGGGAAATCCACAACCTATGTAAGCATTTAAAGTTGACCATTACAAATCATAGCATCAGAAGATAAATGTGTAATCAAGCAAACGAGGAGAGGGGGTAACTGGGAGGAAAATAAATTAATGTAATACAGGAAACAATCAATTTACATGTGGCCAGTTGACACGTGACTGCACATGCACGCATCACGCCAACCCAGAAGTGGTCAGAAAAAGGGGCGGGTGGGCGTAATGGGGCAGGCTTATGAACACTCTGCCATCATGTGCTATGATCTGGAATGCACTCCCCCCCCCCCAAAAAAAAAAAACAGGGGCTGACTGTAACTAAAGGCTGTTCAGTTTTTCCTGGAGGTGATTGGAAGGGCGTGTGTGTGTGTGTGTGTAGCTGTCAGCCAGCCCCATGTTTTCCTCAAGCTGGTAAAAACTACCCCAGTAAATACAGTGCCAAAATCGGACTGTATCTACTGCATCTGAGTACTGCATGGTTTGCATGTATAGAAAGTGAAAGAGCACACCTACCAAAAACAAAAGGAAGGTTACCATAAAAGCACCTTAGATGTACAAGTTTAAGTACGATCTATACAGAGGATGCTGCATCTCAAACGAGATATCAGCTAGACAATTTTGGCTTGATGTTTTATACAATACAATTTTCTACGGAGTTTAGATTTATTGAAGAAATAACTGGTTTTACGTTAAATGCCTTGATTCACAATATGAATCTGAAGTTTAAGGGTTTGTTGTTAGGTGGTGTTTTTGTTGTTGTTTTTAAAAGAAAAATAAAGATTCATCTAGCCACAGAAGAGCAGAAAACAGCTCAGTTAACCCTAAAAATACAGCAATCTTCAATTAGGTTATGCTCTGTGGAAGATAGATATGTGATGCGGAAAGGTCCACTGCTGCCTGTTACCAACCATGACAGAGCTACTGAGATTTACAATGCAGCATCAATCTTGTCAACCGGATTCTTAACACTGACTGCTGGACACTAGGGAAAGATGCCAACTACGTTATGCGAATTCTTCTCCAACATTATTACTTTGTGTGTGGACCCAAATGCACTATTTTCTGCCCATAGCAACTTACTTTTTGATGAAGTTTTGATGCCATGTTAAGTATACGAAGCAGCTCGGCCTAAGAGAAAGGAAAATTGAAATGCATTAAGAAAAAAATACAAAAGCATACATTTCATAGGCAACTAAAAGAGATACCATGCCCCCTTTTATTTCTCCTCTTAGATACGAGATCACAGAGAAAGAGAGAGAGGACTCAGACTTTTAGAGGATGCAGTACCAAACAGTGGATGGGAAATTTCTTTTCTTGCAAGCAAACAGGAATTTTGCAGTTCAGTAGGTCATCTATCATCTGCAATGAGTCATAATCAACAGAATGAGATTATGAGGACTTCTCTCATCACTTGTCCTGTAAAATAGGGATCTACAGGATAACAGCAAGGCTTAAGACACATCCGAAAGCCTGTAAAAATAATGCTTAAAATATACTGTACTGTAGCTACTAAACACTCCATGTTTTTTCCATATACATATTGCTTCCTTCCTTAGATTAAACAAGATGCGCACAAAGGGCATTCTGAGATATTTTGCATATGTGAAGAAAAACAAGCATGAAATATTCCTAATAAATTACTATGGCTATTAACGATTTAGTTTGCAAGACTGCTTTCAGCTGCAAGCAAATCAAGACATAAAAACATTTACAAGGAAGCAAGTTTCACCAGAACTATTTGAAATGATTTGCAAATAAGGAGATTTAGAGTCAAGTTCATAGTACATATATATTTTTAATTCACTCTTCTACTTTATAGTGGGTTAGAGTAATGTTGTTCTTATAACCCAACTTTAGCGATGTTTACTTTCCATGAAGGGATAATACAGGCAATCATTTACAAATGGTTAACTTACCATACTGTGCACATAACAACTTAGGTGGTCATCTGAATTGGCCGGCCTCTGTTGAAGGACAATATTTTACCTCTCCTCTGCTGTCCCGGATTTCAGCTCAGGAGTGGAAGAGCAGTAAGGTTTTCTTCAACACCTTGCAGCACGAGACAGGTGACCAGCTTAACCAAGTGTTTATATACACACTGCAGTAAGTTACCACACAGGATTTGTCCCATTTATTTAAGTAGAACTTATTTCAGAGTAAGTGGGCCCAGGACCATGGGCTTAAAAGTGAGCATAGCAAAGCCGATGAAAGCCAAAATGTGTCAACATGAACACATGTGCCTAAGGACTTGTCTAAAGACACTAACGTGTGCATAAAAAAACAACCCCTTGTATGGTGGTGGATTGTGCACTTCCAGCTTGTAATTTTATCAATATAAAATGCAAAAGCACATTCGTATGAGCTTGCCCAAATATTAAGATTGCAAAGCTTAGCTTCATTTTGTTTGCTGGAGGTCTTCCTTTGCTAAGTCAGATACATGTACCGGGAGTATTCTCAGATCTTAATTAGAGGGGTGGGGATGTTGAATCCTTAACAAGAAGTGGACTTCTCCCAAGTGTTTTGGTTAAATGTGTGTTAAAAATAAAGAGCTTTGAGCAGCCTGAATAGAAATTACATCCCCTTTCAATCATGCTAACCCAATTTAGTACAGGTAGTACAACCTGCCAAGACCTAGATTTCAAAGATGAAGTAGGGGTGGAGGGAGAGAAACCACTTTCAAAACTGATTGAGCCTTTTGCTTGATATTGTTCAATTAGGCACATTTTATAAAAACAAAAATTATTTTCTAGACTGAATTTGCTATATTCGCTTTCCTTTTATTCCAAGGCATTTCAATTTACATAGCCAAAAACTGCTAATCATATTCAACTACAGCTCTAGATATTTTTCAATATTATTTCATGTACTTCCAAAAACATTTGTATGTTTGCATTACACCTGGCCGCTATAATTAACTGTATTTTAATATAATAGCTAAGTTACAAGTCCACGCCCAACGTATACACCATCTATCTTTGTCAACAGCAGGTCAGAATGTTGAAATCTAACTACAGTGGTACCTTGGGTTAAGTACTTAATTCGTTCCGGAGGTCCGTTCTTAACCTGAAACTGTTCTTAACCTGAAGCACCACTTTAGCTAATGGGGCCTCCTGCTACTACTGCATCGCCGGAACACGATTTCTGTTCTCATCCTGAAGCAAAGTTCTTAACCCGAGGTAATATTTCTGGGTTAGCGGAGTCTGTAACCTGAAGCCTATGTAACCTGAAGCGTAAGTAACCCGAGGTACCACTGTATCTGGGTGGGGCCAAAATGCCTTTTCGCCCCCACATTAAGAGGTACAATTATTGAGTCTAACAAAATAAGAAACTGATAGGCATATGATCATCCCTTTTTATTCTTGCCTTCCACAGCACACTGCCAAAAGAGAAGGGGTTGTTCCGACAGCATGGAACAAAGATCGTCTCCAGGAGCAAGAACTATATGTAGGATGAGGTGGCGCTATTAAATCCACAACTTTATTGGTTACAACTCATAGGGTATGGTAGCACACCGGGTGAGAACCCACTAATTGGAAAGCCAAACTGCTGGGTGATGCAACCAGTCTGGCTCAGATACCAGGGAAGCAATGAGGTGAGTGACAGGCATACCTGGTTCAGCATGGCTCAAACAGATAGTGTAGTTCTTTCCTGGATACCTTTCGGATAGCATGGCGACCACTTGCAGCCCACTTACCCTTAAATATGAATCTGACCCAAAGCCAGAAACGGTTAATATTGCAGTTTAATAAACACTTTGCATTTTGTTTTGTGACTTGAACAAAGGCCTTAAACTTTTATTTAGCAAATAACTCTTAATGACCTCACCCCCCATAGGAAGAGACTCAGGCTTCTCTTAGCAGACAAATGTGAAATTCCCTGCACTCCATCACAGCACTTAAAGGCAGGTTGGTAAGAAGTGGGAATAGCAGGGGTCAAGTGCTAGATCTCAAGTGATGAGATGGACTCAAAGAAAGGTTGTTGTTTTTTTCCCTTTCAGCTTTCCTGCTGACTAATCAAAGGGAAAATATGGTTTTGAATTCCACCAAGATCCACGTGCTTTCCCACTTTTCCACAGGGAAAGTATGTGCTGTGGAGGCAGCAGGTGCTTATAGATGAACACAGGGAAGCAAGTAGATAAGAAATAAACATACCTTCTGATTTATGGAAAATATACTTTTGAACCGCAGCAGGTTTTTTCCATATAAATAAAGCAGTTCAAATGCCTCAGGAAAGACTACTGGGCACTTTAAGTATTACACTTACTTCTATGATGTCCCCACACTTGGCACACTGTCATAAGTGAGAAAATGCAGATCTGCACCCCTTCAATCTCCAATAAAATACAGTATTATTACAGGAACATAAAGAGAGACTTGCTGGATCAGACCAAAGGCCTACTTAGTCCAGCATCTCTTTGTCAGTGGCCAAGCAGAAGCCTATGGGAAGGCTACAAGCAGGACATGAGCACCACCACACTTTAACCACATGGTATTCACAGACATACTGATACTGAAGGGAGTACAATTGATAGCCTTATCCTACACCCATTTGTCTACAGCTCTTTTAAAGGCATCCAAGTCGGTGGCCATTAGCACGTTTCGCAGTAGTGAATTCCTTAGTTCAACTATGTGCTATACAAATAAGTACTTTCTTTTCTTCAGTAGCAGCCAGTATGGTGGGAATGGGATGCCTGCCCTCTTGATACTGGCATCGCTGCAGATTACCTGGGCGTGGATTGGGTGGGACGGGGTAGGTGTGAGAAGCAGAGCTATCTGGATGTAGCAGTGGAGTCAATCCAGTGTTTCCTCCAGTCACCCACACAGCCCTGACATCGGTGCTGCCCTGCCCAGGTGAGCTGCAGCGATGTTGGTGTTGGGAGGACAGTCCTATCCCAGAACACCAGCCACTATTCCTCAAAACCTCAGTCTCTAGCAACAGAGTTGAATCCAGGTGTATGCTCATATTATGAATCTGCACCTTCAGCTTCTTTTAGAACAGGCCATCTCCTCAATTGTAAACACAAGAACCATTCTCCAACAATGCCTCCAACTTGTCTGGATCCAGCTTCGGGGTCTATCCAGCCCATTGTTATCTCTTGGCACAGGTCCTGCATCTGGACAGCCTCACCGGATTTAGATGATATGAACAAACAGAGCTGGTTTGTCATCCACATATTGGCGACACCATGCCTGAAAGCTCCAGATGACTCCTTCCAGCAGCTTTACATAGATGTAAAAAGCATAAAAGTACAAGATGGGGATTCTCTGGGAACCCACAGACAACACAAGTTTCCCAGTGCTTCTCTTTGGAAACTTATCTTCAAGTAGGAGCTGAACCAGTGAACCACCAATCTGAATTCCAAAGTTTGTAGTGGAACTCCCCAAATAGGCCCCTGAGGACTAAGCATTCTCTGCAGCGCTGAATGTTGGGGAGAAAAAATTAATATGGGAGTAGGGCGGGGAATCCAACGGCATACCCTGGAAGAAGACGGCATAGCTGGAACCCAGAACAGGGGCATTTTTACAATGCATAGCCTAGCATTGCTTGTCTGGCCTGTACATACAGGGTTTAGAATTTCCTGAACGTTTGGTCTTATATCAATCTCCACATAGATGTTCAAGCATGTTCTGAAAATAACAGAAATAAATCTTGGTTTGAGAAAACTGATGGCACTCAGTAAGGAGTCATAATTTTTCCTTAGCCATTTAGCTGGCTTGAAATGTCATGGATGCTTTAACAATTCACACAGCTAGACACAGCTCCAAGAGCTGTGTTGTTATTTGGCAAACCGATTGAGGCCAAGTGCATTCTCTGCTTGGTAGATCAAGGAATGATGTTGGGAGTCTGTTCCAAAGCAAGCTACAGCTCTGCTTTCACAGCTGGACATTAGAAGTGTCTTAGCTTGCCACTAAGAGAGATCCCAGCATGAGAGAAAGCAGTAAATATGGCTGAAATAAGAATCTACCTCTATTCTCTAAAAGAATTACAGTATTCAGAAAGCGTTTTTATAAAAGCCCTTTTTTACACAAACACACAGCCTCACAGATTTCCACAAATGTAGGTTGTAAAAAGAAGCTATCTGTAGATGTATTGTTTCTACCTTTTGCTTCCTACTTTCAGCTGATAGC